GGAGTATGAATTTTCGCACACATATAGTTTATATAATAATAATAATAATCTCAGGACAATCCACACATCGCCATCTAGACCCAAGTTAAGCTAGCTGAAGCTTGTGTTACGGGTACTAGACAACTGATACAAATACATAGATAATTTTTTTTTCGTAAATACATACATATTATACATAGAAAACACCCAGACCGACACAAACAATTATACTCATGAATACAAATGTTTGTGCCGTGCGAGGAATCGAACCCGCGACCATCGGATGTAAAGCGGTGTGCTAGACCGCTATATCACCGAGGTCGTCTTATATAGAGAAGGAGTGCAGAATGCCATTATATGTTTTTTTATTAAAGAAATATATAATAATAATAATAATAAAAAATCAAAAAGACAAATAAATGTTTACAATATTAACAAATACAAAAGCGCGATTAAAAATAAATTGGATTTGCTGTTACAATATAGTAATAATCCTGATTATCTTTACACCAAGCTAATTACTATTCTATCAGGAGAATATGAACAATTTTTCAAGAAAAAAGAAGTTTATGTTAAATCTAAATTCACGGAATGGGCAACAGTAGGTATACTTAAAAGTAGAAATATTTTGTTTGATTTATACGATCAAAAAAAATATCGATTTGATGACAAATTCACCACTTATGTGAAAAATTATTCGAAAATTTTTAAAAAAGTTTGTATTACGGCTAAATCTAATTATATTAATAAACAAATTAACCAGTCTTCTGACAAAATTAAAACCATCTGGGGCATTATAAATAAAGAAACCGGAAGATCTAAATTAGCCTATAATCAATTTGCATTAAATTATGATAATAAATTAATAACAGCAACAAAAGATGTAGTTAATGTTTTTGAAGATTTTTTTGCTAATATTCCGATTAATATTACATCTTCTTTGGACTCATCTCCATCTCGAGCAAAAATATTACTAGAGTCTAATATCGGTTGTTGTGCTTTAAGATTTAAATTTTCACATGTTAGCCCCGTTCATATCATAAAAATATTCAAACATCTAAATTTAAAAAATACAGAAGACCTTTGGGGCATGTCTGTAAAAGTAGTTAGTTCTTTCATAGATATTGTTGCTCCATATCTAGCTACTATTTTTAATAAATGTATTGATAATGGGACTTTTCCACAATTAATGAAGTTTAGCAAATTAATCCCACTATTTAAATCAGGAGATAAATTTGAGCCAGGGAACTATAGACCTATATCTATTTTGCCAGTTCTAAGTAAAGTGTTTGAAAAGATAATGTTAAATCAAATGTTACAACACTTCAGGGATAACCGACTGCTTCACAGTCAACAATATGGTTTCACCGCCGGCAAGTCTACCACTGACGCAGGTGTAGCGCTGATAACACATATTTTCCAATCATGGGAGAAGTCACAGGATGCACTCGGAGTTTTTTGTGACCTATCAAAGGCATTTGATTGCGTGGATCATAAAACACTTTTGTACAAGCTCGAACATTATGGTATAAAAGATAATGATCTAAAATTAATGAGAACTTATTTAGAGGATAGGGTCCAAACTGTAGATATTGACGGTATAAAATCTAAGGGAGCTAATATTGGGATGGGCGTTCCACAAGGGTCAATCTTAGGCCCCTTTCTCTTTTTAATTTACATAAATGACCTTCCCTTTATGGTAGAGAAAATTGCAGATATAGTGCTGTTTGCGGATGATACTTCGTTAGTGTTTAAAATTGGACGTCAAACTAATCAATTAGACGATGTAAATTGTGCTATGTCTGCTATATTAAATTGGTTTACATGTAATAACCTATTATTAAATTCCAGCAAAACAAAGTGTATAAAATTTACACTTCCTAATGTAAGACCAATAAATACACAGTTATTGCTTAATGACGAAATAGTAAATTTTGTTAATGATACAGTTTTTTTAGGTATAACAGTGGACTCGAAATTACAATGGGGGCCCCATATTTCAAAATTGGCCAATAGACTCAGTTCAGCTGCATATGCAATTAGAAGAATTAGGCAATTAACAGACGTGGCGACGGCTAAACTTGTATACTTTAGTTATTTCCATAGCATTATGTCATATGGTACACTACTGTGGGGTAAAGCAGCCGATATAAATACTATATTTATTTTACAAAAGAGAGCCATACGTTCTATTTATGGTATGGGTTCAAGAGAGTCATTACGTCAGTGTTTTAAAGATTCAAATATCCTCACCGTTACTTCACAATACATTTATGAGAATATCATGTATACACGGAAGAATTTAGACAGTTTTAGAAAACTTAAAGACTGTACAAATAGAAACTTACGGAATAAAAATAAGCTAATTTTACCTAAATGCCGCCTGCACAAAGTCAGTAATTCATTCTATGGTAATTGCGTAAGATTTTATAATAAACTGCCAGAATCTGCACTAAATCTGACAGAGAGGCAATTCAAATCTTATATTAAACAATTTTTGTGTAAGAAAGCCTATTACAGGATAGACGAATTCATAGAAGACAACATATCAAGTAAATAATTAGTTTATTAGCATACAACGTTATAATTTGTTTATCTCATTGCTTTCTTGATTCAATTATTTTAGAAATATGAAAGCGTAGCGGGTTTTGTATTAATTGCCGCATGCATTCTTATGTGAAATGTGAATACTATAAACATCAGATGGCAATTGTGAGTAGCTATGACGTGGTCTGGTGTTTTGAGTAGTCATGCTCACTAAAATGTCCAGACTTGTGGCGGCGTGGTGGGCCGGGTCATTGGGCTCCCTAAAATATGGTCGAGCGCAGTGATGGCTGGCTCATCCGTCATACTCGTGAACGGGTGCTGCTTGTAGGGACTGGTCTGCTCTAATCACTATGACTGATTTCCTCTTATTAATTGTTTAACCAGTTGGTTATGCATTCAATATTTTTTTTCTTTTTGAGTATTTAATTGAATTAGTGCTAATCGGTGGTTTGTATTCACACACTTAAACTTAAATTGTAAGTAAGAATAAATTATTTAAAAGAGCAACACACAAGTTTCTTGCTTGTTCTTCTTGTGATGAGACAGCATTCCGAATGAGCGGTAGATTAAAAAAAAATGTTATGACTATTCAAAAGTGCTTCAATGTAAGTTTATTTGAATAAATGATTTTCTATTCTAGTCTATTCTATTCTATACAGACTACCACGCATTTGACTCGCACACGAATATAAAGTATATGTGTATATATATATTTGTTTATTGTTAAACTCTGTGGTCAAATTGAGAATAGATTAATATTATTAGTTTTTAACATTATTTTTGACGACCTCGATAGTCTAGCGGTCTAGCACACCGCTTTATGTTCGACGGTTGCGGGTTCGAGTCCTCGCGCGGCACAAACATTTGTATTCATGACTATGAGATGAAGTATTATGTTATTTGTGGTATGAGTGTTTGTATCGGTCTGGGTGTTTTCTATGTATAATATGTATGTATTTATGAAAAAAAAGTTATCTATGTACTTGTATCAGTTATCTAGTACCCGTAACACAATCTTTGATAGCCTAACTTGGGACTAGATGGCGCTCTGTGAATTGTCCTGATATTATTATTATTTGTCTATATTCTTACTGAATATTAAATTAATTATCTATAGTTGAATTACCACCACTGTGCGACCACTACTTAAGTTAAATGTACAGTGTAACAAAATCGTAGCCAAACGAATTGAGATTTTGCAGTTTTTGAGGACTACTGAAAATGGTACGATTCTGCATCATGGGTATATACCTACATTGATTTGAAAATTAATTCCTGGAGGTGTAAGACGAGACGGTTTTCCAGCAAGTGAAGTGGGATGAAATCTAAGTACCCGCCATGGAGCTTGTTAATATTACATTTCTTCCCTCTTTGCCTCGTTGAAGAGCGAGCTTTCAGGAAAATAATAATTGTGAGTTCTTCATTCTCCTATCTATTTAATATTTACTGCCTTTATTATATTAGGGAATTATTAACGCGTAATAAAACAGATTATGTGGTGTAGCGGTTACGGCAGTTGCCGGTTCGATTCCCATATAAATTAAGTTTTGTTTTCATGCGTATGACTGTTTGTATAGGTTTTTGCTATGAATATTATACATATATTTAAAAAAAATCTGTTTATACGATGGCACTGAGGTGTGATCATAGGTATTTATTTATTAAAAATATTATTCACATTAAAAACTATCTATATTATGTTAGAAGAATGTATTCTTAAAGTTAAAAAATGTCTAATATTATTTTTAATGCTTAATGAACCATTCAAAATTATTAATTTTAATGTGATATATATATGTGAAATTAGCTACTGTATATCTTTTTTACATCATCACTATCATTATCATTACATAGTATAAAACAAAGTCGAGGTCGCTGTCTGTCCGTCTCTATGTATGCTTAAATCTTTAAAACTACTCAACGAATTTTGAAGCGGTTTTTATAATTGATAGAGTGATTCTAGAGGAAGGTTTATATGTATAATACATGTACACCTGGGAAAAGCCGGGGCGAGTAGCTAGTAATTATATATAAAAAGCTTTTTCTTTTTATCAAATTATTCCAATAATTTTACATAAAATTGAATATGCATCTTACAAGACTCGTGTCTTTTCCTTATATCTAAATTAATATAATATCTCACAAATCCAATTCAGCTATTAAATTGTTTTGCCCTCTTCTTTCAAGTTATTTTCTTTATTTAACAGAAAGTTACAAAATAATAACATCTATCTATTAATATTTGAAGAGGACTGTACATATAACGCACTCTCGTATCCGAGTGCGTTAGAAATGTGACAGAAAAACTAAATTTACTTGTTTATGATCTATTTTAATCTGACAGAAGGTTCTGTAATTAGCGCCTACATATCTACTTTTATACCTGTACAGTGTATGAGTTTTACAGACGTACACAGGAGTTAAGAGCTGTTAAAAGCTCAGTTGCGCCCGTGTTTCCACGGTAGATACTCGCGTCCTGTCGCCTGAGATACTGAAAATACGTCGCGTCGTACTCGGAACGAGTGACTGTTCGGGGACGTTGTTTTTTGTTTTTAAAATTATTTTTTAATCTATGTCTGCATCCGTGATGTTGCATCCATAAATTTTCAATCCAGAGTTCGTGAGTTATGTCAGTGAGTTGTTTTTATTATTCAAATGAGGTAACAGAATATAATTTCGAGGAAACATTATTTGAAAATTGAATTATTTGAAAATGGAATTCAATGACATTTCGAATTGCGAAGGTTGAGAAGTGAATTTGAAAATGGAATTTTATGAATTATCACTTGATTAGTTGTGTTCCATTTTCAAATAATGATAATTATATTTTATGTAATTAATAATTCAATAAGTACTAAATATTTTAAGTATTTTTTTTCCGATTTTCATGCTTGCTCTTTACTATTACAAATATAAAAAGTTGTGTTCAGTTGATTAAATTTTTTTTCAATTTTACTTAATAGATATTTAATTTTGGTTGCATTATGAATAGATGCACTTTATTTTTTACTGAGTTTTACATAATACAATATGATGTTCTTTAATATTGGAAGAAAAATATAAATATTCATAAACTGTGTTAAATTTAAACAGTAATCTATTTGAAATTTAAATTACGTATTTACATTGAAATTTACTACAAATACAAAGGAAACTGATTCATCCTTAACAAAATTAGTACAATCTATCTTCGGCATCTTGTTATAGAGATGTTTTCGAGGCTACGGTAAACGTTTACCATCAGATTTTGTTCTTTTATTTATATATTTTTGGGATTTCTGTACATAAAACATGATGATGACAATCCTATTGTACCAAAACTGTAAAAAACTATAGCACATAATAACTTGGTTGCATCGGAAGCTGGCTCTGCCAATATACCAACAGATGGGCCGTTAGTTTGATTGCCACCATCATAGTATAAAAAAAATGGCAAGAATCTGACTGCTCATCTGATGGTAAGTGACAATCGTGGTAACTCACATTGTGACACGAGAATTTTGTATATTCTCGTGTCAAAATGTACCACACTCCTCCGAAATGACTTGACCGACTTTTATGATTTTTTATATGCATACTCAGTAAGTAAGAGAATCGGCTGCTGTCTATTTTTCATACCCCTAAACAATAAGGGTTGTCCACCCCTAACATTTTTTTTTTGGACAATTTTTTTTATAATGGTGCAATCAAAATACCTACAATCCTAAATAATACCTCAGAATAATTTACACAGCGCCATCTAGTCCCAAGCTAAGCAAAGCTTCTATTATGGATACTTTATATCTGATAAATACTTAAATATATTTTTTGTCAACACATATATAAACACAGAATATTCATTATGGATCTGGAATATCCAGACCAATATGAATAACTATACTCATGGATACAAAATGTTTCTACCGTGCGAGGAATTAAACCCGCGATCATGGGTGCAGTGTGCTAAACCGCTAGACCACTGAGGGGTCTCTACATTAGTAGTACTATGTAATATTATGTTATCTGTGGTAGTACTACAGACATCTCGTTATCATGTAACACACATAGTTCCACTCATACGTGCAATTACAAAATTAATGGTTCGGTGATCTAGCGGTTTAGCACACCGCCTCATTTCTGATGGTCGCGAGTTCGATTCCTCGCACGGCACAAAAATTATATTCATGAGTATGATGGTGTTTTCCATGTATAATATGTATGTATTTACGAAAAATAAATCTATGTATTTGTATCAATTATCTAGTATCCATAACACAAGCTTTCGTTAGCTTAACTTGAGTCTAGATGTCGCTGTGTGAATTGTCCTGAGGTTATTACCTTTTGTAATAATAATCTCAGGATATATATGTATCTAATAATATATCTATGTATTTGTATTATCTAGAACCCATAACACAAGTTTTAGCTAACTTAACTAGGATCTAGATGGCGCTGTGTGAATTGTCCTGAGATTATTATTTTTACCTCGAATTGCTGCGAGAGGTATTCCAGCGAAACACAAAAGATATCATATCTTTTATACTATTAAGTGTAATTTATCATACAAAGTCGTTTATTTGATTTTATCTTAAACTCACGTAGAGGTACATTACTGTAGGTAAATCAATAAGATAAGGGATTATGTACTTTGCTGAGTCTGGAATGTTATTAATACGTGTGTTTGTAATTTATATGACAAGTGTAGGGTAAGACTACATAAGAACAACAATAATAATAATGTTTTAGTTTAAGTAACAGTTATTTTTTCATGGAAAGACTACTGAATGGTTTTTAATAAAACTTTATAATGTATGTATTTCACAAAGCAAGCTACTTAGGGGTTGAGATAGGTGAGACTCGGTTACACCTGCATGAAATTTATGGTCTATGTGTTATTCTGATTATGTATAAACATAATAATACATAGTATGATGTATAAACATAATAATACATAGGGAATAAATTTCACGTTCAGTTCACCTCTATGCTTACATACCGTGGGCACAGCTAGTTTTTTATATTGTTGACTAGCTGTATCCGCGACTTCGTCCGCGAGTACAGCTAGTCACACCACCTTACTTCCGATGGTCGCGGGTTCGTTTCCTCGCACGGCACAAACATATGTATTAATGAGTATGATTGTTTGCATCGGTGTTTCTAATAATATAGCTATGTATTTGTATCAGTTATCTAGTACCCATAACATAAGTTTAGCTAGCTTATCTTGGGTCTAGATGGCGGCGAGAGGTATAGTCCTGAGATTATTATTATTTCCTCAAATTGGTGCGAGAGGTATACCAGCGAAATCTCTACAATTTTCTGAAAGATCTTAGCCTGTCTTAAACTGCAATAAGTTCTGTACTAGAACGTATATCTAAAGCTGCACTTGCAGGCTCGTACCAGATCTAGGTAAGATGAAACCAGTTAGAAAGTATTTAACTCGAAGTGTGAGCGAGAGGTATATCAGTGAAATCTCTATAATCTTAGATAGATAGAATATAGATAGAATATACTTTATTTGCAACATACAGTAAAGAAGAAGCACAAACAAAGGACACATGTATCGTTACAATAAGGCGGCCTTATTACTAAAAGCAATCTTTTCAAGGCAACCTTAGGGAACAAGCAATCTTCTAAAAGATATTGGCCAGTCTAGAACTGAAATAAGTTCTATATTAGAACATATATCTAAAACAACACTAGCAGGCTTCTACCAGATCTGGCTGGGTTAGGAGAAAAACACGAGCGGTGAAGGTGAGTGTTGACGTATATCGGCAAAGTGGCCTCTTAAACAAAAACACTCGGGTCGCAAGTCCCGGAAACTTCTCAAAGTTGCTACATGCACCCGACACCCGCATGGTGAACCCATGGAATGCTAATAAAAAAAAAACAGTCGGTTCAGTACTAGGTAAGGGAGGGGAAGTAAAAGCGCGGGAAGAAGCTAACGGACTCTAATATAATAATCTGTGCTTACGATGGTATAGGGTAGATTTTGAACAAGAAGAAAAAAATAATTTATTTAAAAAAGGGCTCAAAGATTTATAGACTTACTGTAGGAGCTACGTAGACTTTAATTCCATCTTAACAAACTGACAGATTAAAATGTGCAGTGTCATCTATGAAATTACTACTATTTAAACAGAGTCCATGTGTGTTAATAATTTGTTACCTATATATAAAACTATTAGTAAGGGCAGTAAAGTCCTCGAGTGGCGACCACGGACCGGAAGACGCAGCGTGGGAAGGCCTCCAGCAAGGTGGACCGACGATCTGGTCAAGATCGCTGGAAGGCATTGGATGCGAGCAGCGCAGTCGTCGTGGAGTATTGTATATGCATGTGCAATTATAAATGAATATATTTTTATCGTTATTCTGATATATAAACTATATTACTGTAAAGTTTCATCAAAGTGCCTTCAGTAGTTTTTGCGTGAAAGAGTAACAAACATCCATACTTACAAATTTCCACATTTATAATATTAATAAGATTTGAAATTAATATCTCAGGATGTATCATACAAATGTAAGGGTTATCTAATAAAGATGATATTCTTGTCAACTGAATATATTTATGCAAATTATATATTTGGTCTAACCGGAATTTGAATTAGTTTGCATGCCCAATAGAAATTAATTCCCTTGCGATCCCTTATGAAGGGTGAAATGCGCGGAATTTCCCTATGATTAAAATTTTTTCATTTGTCGATTCTTTACAACTCGGATTAAGGGTTCATTCTGATTAAATATATTACACCTGTAGTCATTGTAGATGACAAATGGAACATAATTTAATTATTTATGGATATACTGAAAATACTTTTAAATAAATTCAAAACATCTGTTAAATCATATTTACTGAGCAAAACCGATTACTCACTAAACAATTACTTGAAGCACATATGGTGTAAGCGACTTTCTATAACATTTTCTTTGATTTTCTATACTACGATGGTGGCAAACAAGCATACGGCCCATCTGATCGTAAACGGTTTCAGTTAGCCGATGGATGCGTAGGGATATCACTTGCGCATTGCCGATCCTTAAGAAACCTTAATATATCGTTTTTAAAAAACCCTATCCTGTAGTGTCGCGAGATATCGTATTATAGCGCCATCTAGTCCCAAACTAAGCAGAGCTTGTTTTATAGGTACTAGACAACTAATAGATACATTAATTTTTTTTATAAATACATACATAGAAAACACTCACACCAATATAAACAATCATGCTCATAAATACAAATGTTTGTACGCAGAATCGAACCTGCGACCGTCGGAAGTAATGTACTCTGCTAAACCGCTAAACCACCGAGGCCGTCAATTATTATATTATAATCTAAAACTAATAATAATAAATGAAAGTTCATTAATATTTAAATAACATAACACCTCATCGTGAAGCGAAATAAATTGAAATGATTATTAATTCAATCAATCTGTTTTGTTTCAGCCACTTTCAGCCATGTAATTGAATTCTAAATTATGAAATACTTGCTGTGCCCGTGACTTCGTCCGCGTGGAATACTGACTTTGACCTAATAAATACTATTTTATCTAATAAAAAATATTTAATAATGTAACCTAAAAAAGTCAAAGAAATAACTTTCATCGTTCTATCTTCAAAAATGAGGAACTTCCATTGAAAATTTTATCCCCTTTTTACTTTAAAACTATAATTATCA